TCTGGGTTTCTCTGACCCAGCTGCAGTTTGTTAGGTAATTTTCAGATTGCAAAGGGTCGGGCCTTTCATATGCAAAAGCCTCTGCACATAGCTTGGGTGGGGCAGGGTCTCTGGGGATCAAGAGGGCAGAGCAAGCAGCTATGGCTACTCCTTCATCCTACCCTAAGAGGCCCTGCTTCTCAGTGTCCCGGTAATCACTGCAAGTACCTCTGAGAGAAAACCGCCCTCAAGTTCTGACTGATGCCAGACAGTCCAGTTTCTCCCTGTATGAGTCTGGGTCCCCAGAGACTCACCTAGAACTGGAATTCAGAGCAGTCGGGAGCTTGAGACTCCCTCCTGATTGAAAAAGACAACCGTGTCCTCAGCTGCCAGGCCTTTCCGCATGCACCTCCGTACCTCTGCACTTTACTTCCGCACCTCCTCTGAGTCTCAGTGTGCTTTACTCTTTCCTTCTAGTTGTAGAATTTCCACTCAGCCAGCCTTCCTGTGATTCTGGATGATATCCGTTTTGTCTTTTAGTTGTATTTTTGAAGTGGTTGTGCGAGGCAGCAATTTCCGGTGTTTACCTATGCCGCCATCTTGGTTTTCTCCGGAACTGGTACTCTTAAAAATGTTAACGTGCTTCTGAAATCTTATTCTCTTGTCCATCTTTTCTTCAATCCTTCACCGCCCCTCCTCAGGTTCACCCTTGGCCGTGCTGGCGCAGCACAGGACAACACTCCAACCCACTGGACAACACTGGCCAGGGCCCACACCTATCTTTTGTAGGTATTATTGCTTCTCTCTTCAAAATGAATGTCTGAATTTTTATAATGAGTAAGTTTAAAGAAAAATGTTAAGAAAAAATAGTGTAGACAGGATATGGATATGGCAAAATCATATGAAATTCCTAGTGTGTGACTGAAGGTTAAGAAATTCTGATATGGTTTGTATTGCCCTTTTTACTCCAGCTGATTCAGTCTTAGAATCTAATTTGAAGTTCAAATAACAATGTTGATCATTGTTGTTGTTGTTGTTTTTCTTTTTTATTGTTTAAGCTATTACATATGTCTCCTTTTTCCCCCGATCGACCCCTCCCCAGCCACTCCCACCTCCCTTTGATCATTGTTTTGGCATATTTGTATTTCTCTTCAGATTTGATATTCCAGCTCTTTACTTAACCTTATATTATTTCATCGTATGTATTTCAGGGCGGTGGTCATCAACACGCTGAAATCCACTCTGACTCAGACCTGTCACCTCTCCGTCACCCTCTGGAATAACCCATGCTGACACTCTCAGATAGATAGATGTCCTCTTCTCCCGCATGCTAAAGTCCTCCTATTATGCAGGGGTGGGAAATCTCTGGGCCTCGGGCGGGCCACATAAGGCCCATGAAACCATTTGGTCTAGCCCTGCTAAGGCACTAAGGGTGAGTTAATTAAATGTTTGACCAAAGCCGTGACCAGTTTGGCTCAGTGGATAGAGTGTCGGCCTGTGGACTGAAGGGTCCCAGGTTCGATTCCAGTCAAGGGCATGTACCTTGGTTGCGGGCACATACCCAGTGCGGGGTGTGCAGGAGGCAGCTGA